GAGTAACTTCGATATGCATAGTCCGAAGACCGAGTAGCGCGCAGCAGTCAGTCAAAACCTATCAAACCCTCTCGGAGTCGACATTTGGTAACACACAAATTTCAAGAATAAAGATGCTAGTAGATGTAATCTCTACGATTCCACTGCAATCAAAGAAACGCTTTTATTGCGGAATGGAGATCAGGACGGTTTAAATGAACTTCCTCGTGAAGCACCGTTCTCTGTCAATAGTGCTCGGTACTGCTTATAGTCGAGATAGATATATGCGATGTTAGAGTTCGAGGATATTAAAAAAGGAAAGGATAAAGCATTTGCCGTTGATCAATCCCTTTTTGGGATGCGGCACGCATTCTACTTCCATTTGTACATTCGTAGTGGCGTTTGAATGCGATGTGGCCTATACAATGACTTGCGGGGGCCAGCCGATGTACAAGTCAGTGTTTTTATCCTCCCAGACAAGTCTGGTACCAATTAACCGACCCCGGAGGGATGGAAGGCTTGGTTGGCCCGGGCGACTCACGACCCAGGATTTGATCCCGGACCGCTCGCGTGGTGAGCGCGCCACTTGTCACTGCACCACTTCCGCCCAATGTGGAGGTATATCCAAGTACAAATCGTCTTTCCCCTGAAATTGTCGAGTAGGAGGCCAATACATATTATAAAACTATGAAACTGAAAGGGGCTCAAGGACTGGGCGCAATTCGTTGGTTAGAAGAATGTGGGGGCACCCTTTCTAAAACGATTGCGCCATATGGCTTTTTTATCAACGCATTACTTAATCATGGCTTGCATGTAGCGGTCCAATCTAATCATTGCTGAGGCATTTCAGGGCTATTTTTTTTTTCGTATTAATTATTTTATTTACTTAGTTATTTATGTTATTATTGTTAATTTAGTAGAAAAACTAAGTTGTAGGACATGGAATCAATACTCATTTTTATAATTTGAACTGCTTTAACGTCAATAAGCGTTTAATCGAAGGCTGTGTTTTATTGGGTTACTTTTTGAAACCTATTCAAATGTGTGAGATCAAAGCAGGTTAGTCTCGCTTTTGAGTCCCGTTGCAGACACTAAAAATAAGGATGTCCTTTCTCTGCTCTAGCAATACGCTTGTGTCAGACTTCGCTGGTCGGTCTCGCGAATTTGCGCGAATATCGTATGTGATCGCAGAATGGCATTTGTCAATCACTGCGTGGTGCTCTTAAATCACGCTATTTCTACTTGATAGTCGGCTGTTATGATCCTACTTGTTTGTCATTGTTTCATATGCAATGTTCCAAATGTTCAAATAATTGCGGTTTTTGCGATTTCGCGCGAATCGCGCGACGGATCGCGGACTCTGACACCAGCCCGAGGGAAAGAATAACATAAGACACAGTACTGACGCAATCAGTACACCAGGGCAGGAAGTAGGACCACTTTGCTGAGATGATTTTCATTCAACACGCTGTGTAGTCCTAGTTGGTTCTAAGCACATAGCACTTGCTAAAGCTCTGAGTTATTAGTCGAAGTTCAGATGACTGCTGCAGTTCTGTGTTCAGCCGATCCTATACGTTGAGACATGTCGATGTCGACTTTGACCTATGCGTATTTAATCTATGCCTAAACAAGCTCTATCTTATCAGGATCTAATTTTAGCCGACAAACCTACGGCTTGTTCACGAACTGGCCATTTGGGTTCACCTACCCTCAGCTCTAAATTTAGCAGAAAAAACCGTGAATTTCGGTCATTTTCTACGATATCACGGTCTTTATGCGGTCATAAAAACTCTTTATGCACATTTTTCTCCGATCTGGTGCCGGTCGAACATCGATTGGCAGGCTTTGATAAGGGAACGGAAAGTCTGCCAGTTTAATGGAGACCAAAAGACATGGTGCACAACTCTCATGACCAATTACTCACAAAGAAAGTGAAGGCCATAAATGTCACCTCCAACGACCTCTTAGCAATTGAATGAATTTTTTATTACAGTTGCAGAGCAGGGGTTCAAACCTGTGTCCTCGTGACACACTGTTCCTTGTCCACGGTGCTCAAAACACTTCTCTAGTTCGCATCTAATTTTTTTGGGGTTTTCTGTACGTTTTGATGCCCTTATTATCTAGGTTGCGGTCCAATCAGACTGTGTATAAGTAAGTAGGTAAATAAACAAGTAAACAAATGCATTACAATATGTTGACGATACGATTATTGCTCACCCTGAGTAAAACCCGAGTCTTGCCACTGTCACGAAGAAGGGATAGCAGGGAAAATAAGCACCGCGAGTGCATGGAAACCAAAAGACATGGTACACAGCTCTCATGATCAGCTGGTTAGATAGAAAGTGAAGGTTATTAATGTCATCTCCAGCAATTCCTTAGCAATCACGGAAATTGCTGGAGAATACACTGTGTTGTCTTAATTGCTGTTTTTCAATCGCGACACAATGGTTATCACAAGGAAGCTGAGTTCCGGGCTATCTGGGACTCCCGCTCGTAAATTGTGCTTCTCGGACGATAATGCTGCGACCTAGTTGCGTAACCGGCTCGTATAACTTCGTA